CCCCACGGCTGAAAGGGCGAGCATGTTTGGTGTGACGGGGATTCGAACCCGCGACCCTCGGATTGCGACTCGAGCGCCCTAACCACCTGGCCATGCAGGGCCAACTTTCTTGGTCTTAATATTCAGCATTTAGTCTCAATCTTTATTTGTATAACTCCGTACTGTAGGTTTTAAATCAATACGTAAGGGATAAATAAAAATATTGGCTTAATGTGCGTTGTTTGCGAAGTTCCTTTTCACCACAACCTTTATAAAAACAAAATAATCAATGTTTATGTTGCTAATTAATTCTACTATATTTTTTTCCAAACTCAACGTGTTCGTAAATCTGGAGTTTTTTATGATCCTTATACTTGTACAATTTGTCCCAGTTCATGAAATGGAATTACTTTACACTTATCTTTAGTTTTTGCTTGTGTTACTCGTGGAACTAGGCTAAACATAAATGTTTCCAGCGTTTGCACAGCACAAGCAAAGCACTGCAAACTACTGAAATTGAAAACACATGATTGATACTACAAGCGCTGTCGTCACTAGAACATCAAACTTTAATGTAAAGAAACAATTAAGTCAAGACTCATAGATTTGTCAGTTTGTTTGTTGAATTTCGTTGGAAAATTTAACAAGGGCTATCTTCGCTAGCCGGTCATAATTTAGATGTTATAGACTAGATGGAAAGCATTTGGTGAACACCATCGTTCGCCATCAGATTATAATGACCCCACGGCTAAAAGGGTGAACATGTTGGGTGATGGGTCAAGTTGCACAAAGCTGGGAGATGTCTATTTTTTTTTGTTCATGTGGTACACAAATAGTAATTACCCTAACCTAGTTATTCTCGCATTCCAGAGAAATCATGAATGATGTTATTTCCGTTAGTGTAGATTCATATTGGTGAGGAGTGTCTTATATACTGAACAAGAAGTATGCAGAGTTCCATATTCCTGAGAATGGTCACTATTAATCTGGTATTATAGATACATTCAAACTGAGAGAACCATCACTTATCTAGAATTAAGCAGGGTTTCAATTTGGTGAATACTATTTTTTAACCAGTTTTATTCATTAAATCATAATATAAAAGCGAATTTTTATCATCCTTATCAATAAAATCTAAATATTTCAATTAAATAAAATAATTCACATTTATTTATAACATAAACCTGCTTTAAATGGACAAGCGAAGCCTTTTTTCCCTTATTTTTAATTGAAGTTTGTTTAGTGAAAATAGTATTAAAGTGGATTTAAAGTGTTGATTCTATCAACGAAAAACACAACTAACGGAAATAACATCAGTTACCTTAGACCAACATCCTCACTTCGAATCTCTTCATTACTCTAGATGAGTATAGATACGTCCTCATCGATTTGAATATCTGCATTATTCCAGATCAATATAGGCGATACTTGTTACCAAGTGTTTTCTGTAAATTATGTCAAATTCCTATTACTGATAATCGTTATGACTTTAAATATCTACGGATTGGCATGGCCTGGTGTTTAGTGCAATCTGCTAATCGCGCATTTGAATTCTGTCACCGAACATGCTCGCCTTTTCAGTCGTAGATGCGTTGTAATATTACGGTAAATCCCCTAAATGTAGGTTGAGGATAGCCCAAGAGTTTGCTGTGGGCGATTTTGACCTGTAATATATCACCTGAAAATTAGTGACGTCTATTGCAGATAGCCCTCGAGTAGTTTTGCGCGAAATGCAACGAACAAATTCAATACTTACATTACGCCAGATAAGTATAGGTGATATGATAATATTTAACAGTTAGAATCACAGAATTACTCCCAATCAGTTTAGATGCTAATTATCATCAATTATCTCTACATTACGTCACATGAATACACGTGACACTTTCCACGTGAATCTTGAGAGTTCTGAACGCATTGACAAGTTTCTAAGTACCTCAACATCTTTAATTCAGGGTTGATGCCAGGATGACGCTGATTACGAGTTCTTTACCGTCATACACGTAGAGAGAAAAACATCAACTAATGAGTACACATAAACCTACTTTTTCTGACAGGCACATTTATCTAGACTACTTAGAAAGGCCATCTTGTGAATGTTTTCCCCAAGAGAGGGTCTTCAGAATTAATGACAATAGTAATTGGTTTATGAAGAATCAAATAACATCAAATATTTGTTGCAATGGATAAATTATTCTTTCAACTTCACTTTGAACTGATTCATTAGCTCACTACACTCACGACCACCGTCATGATCAGCCCTATGCCACAGAGAACTGTTACGTTGGTCCTTCAATAATTGGGATATTACGGATGACATACGAAGCAAACTAATTAAAATATTTTAAGTGGTTTTAATTGTACAATAACGTCATTCAATGGTGTCGCTCCAGTTCTGCAGCATTCGGAAATAACATATAAATATACTTGTCTTCTTTACCACCAGGGATACAAATTGTCAGCCATCAGGAAACATGGATAAAATGACGCCGAAAGCAATGGTACAAGTAATAGTGCAGATTAGGAAAAATAGAACATTATAAATAGGATTGTTCCATCCTAAAAGAAAGACAACATACAAGAAATTGTTTTCTTATGATTTTTAAGTAATATAATCTTTTTTTCACTTTACATTATTATTTATTTGTTTGAATTTATGCACAAAGCTACACAATGGGCTATCTGTACTCTGCCCACCACGGGTATCGAACCCCGGTTTCTAGCGTTGTAAGTCCGCAGACATACCGCTGTGCCGCTGGGGGGCTTACATTATTATTGAAGCCAGTATTACTGGATTCATTATTAATGATGGCATTATTACTTAAGCCAGTATTACTGGAGTTATTATTACTGGTGACATTATTACTGGAGCCATTATTACTGAAGCTATTACTACTAGAGCCATTACTACTGGTGGCACTATTACTAGAGCCATTATTACTGGAGTTATTGTTACTGGTGACATTATTACTGGAGCCATTATTACTGAAGCTATTACTACTAGAGCCATTACTACTGGTGGCACTATTACTAGAGCCATTATTACTGGAGTTATTGTTATCTGTGGCATTATTACTAGAGTCATTACTACTGAAGCCATTAATACTAGCGCCATTATTACTGAAGTTATTATTATCGGTGACATTATAACTGGAGTCATTATTATCGGTGGCATTATTACTGGAGTCATTATTACTGAAGCTATTACTCCTAGAGTCATTATTAATGGTGATAATTATTACTGAAGCCATTACTACTAGAGCCATTATTACTAAAGCCATCACTACTAGAGTCATTATTACTGGTGGCATTATTACTGAAACAATTACTACTGGAGTCATTAGTACTGAAGCCATTACTACTAGA